GGGGGGGGAGTGGGCAGTACCCGAAATCCTCACAAGACTACTTAAAGCTGGCTGGTGAAAATGGAGCATTTCAGTGAAATTCGATATTTTCTTTCATCAAAGGCTGGGAGCCTCAACCCACATGTTAACAGTAATGTAACAAGCCTACTGTATGTGCTGCAACCCAAGGTCCTTTTCCAATTAGAATTCATTTAGGTTGGGGGAGAGCAGGGGTCGGAGCAAAGAGGTGGCTCTGGAATTGATCTAAAACTGGAATCCAACCATTCCGGCTGGGAACTCAGCTGGGAATCCCAAACACTTGCTTGGATTCTGCAGCAAACCAGAAGTGAAAGAGAACTGTTAGAGAGAACAGATTGTCCCTGGAAAACTGAGGAAATGTATACAGAATGTTTCTTTTTCTACGGAGAAAGAAAAAGTCTGCTGCACTAGGGAAAAAAAACCAAGACAACCCCAATATTCTTTTATTTCTCTGTGACTCAAATCTGAGTTTGCTTTTCAGTTCCAGGTCTGATAGAATCTCCAGATCAAACTCATTAGTGTTGGTTAAATCCAGGTTTGCTGATAGGAATGTGTGGGACAGCAAACAAAATCAGTGTCAGGCCTCGAGAGAGGATGTGCCTCTTTAATTGAAAAAGGCAGAGTAATCATTCATTTATTTAACCCAGAGATGATTATAATCTGAAAACCTTGAAATCCTCTTACACAACAACTGTTTTGGCAAGCCCCTCTGTGTTCCAACAAATATTAAACTGTGCTTGCCATTTGTCTAAGGAATCTTGTATTAATAAACATGAAGAAGAACACTTTTACCTCCCACACTCAATGACAGAAGAAAACAAAGACCAGCTGTATTCATCAATGGATCCTTGTTCTGCACATAAAGGCTAATTACATTTTACTTCAAGCCTACACATGGAAAACTTTGCTCCTGCCATCTTGTCAAAGGCAGCTTCTGATATTCCAGCTGACAGACTGCAATGACTGCACATAATAAACTTCTTTTTGTCATTAACACCTTCAGTGCCCGGCCCTGGGCTGTGCTGGGGCTCAGGGAAGGGGCAGGGGCAGCACACACCCACCTGCCGGGAATTTTCTACGTGGGGATGACAGAATTGGACTGGAAATTTTAATTCCAGCTGCTGATCTCATCTGAAGGTGCCTGGCTGTGCCTCTGCCCCTCCCTTTGCACGTAGAGTGCTTTGAACGGGACATTGTGAAAAGATAAAGCAAATAAGTTGACATAATGATTTCCAACTTTTCAGATCACCGCAAACGGTCTCCAGGATAAAATCCAGACTCCTTAACGCTGATAATGAAGACTTCTCACTCTGTACTTCTTTGGCTTCTTGGGGGTTTTTTGCCTTGTTTGAAAGATTTTCAAAGTTTCAAGCAGTTGAAAGACAGCTTTATTCTGAGACTAAAAATCTTAAAAGCACTGTTAGCTTTAAAAAATTGACAATTATCTGTTTTTTTCCTGAAGGCACTCCAATTCATCTGCATCAAATAAGCATCTGTAAAACTAACAATTCTGGCCTAAGATAAAAATCACATGTTTTTAAAACATAAAATTAAAATTGGCAATACAAGTAGCTTTTCAGACTTAAGATCAAAAGAGGGCTTCTTTTAAGAAAAGAATCAAACTGTCTTTCACCCTTTTTATTGGTGTTTTTTCAGCCTTTCTCCCAGCTTTTATAATTAAAATAGATGACTCAATTTCACTGTCTACATTCAGTTCCCTTTTCATGTTCTTCTAGATTTCCATATTGCAAAATTTGGGCTACAAATGCTACAGACAACTGTTGTTATGCAAGAACTATTCCTGCCATAAATATCCAAAACAATGATAAAATATTTCTGCTGTTATTAGGACCTACAAGTTTGTTTTCACAGTACATTAGTCTGGGAGATAAAGTACAAGCTTAATGTCTGCTTCAGGATTCAGCTCCATGACCACTCTATTCCAGAGCCAGTCTCCATAATCATTCTGCTACAGAACACAATAAACACAATAAAATATAGAGCACAATAAACTTCTTGTTACTGCAGATGCCACTAATTTTATGTAATTCTATATAAATTAGGTAAAAGTCATTCTCAAGATCATATAAAAAATAAATATTTCTGTGTGAATCTCCCCAAAAGAGTGAGATTAGAAATGCAAACAAATATTTTAAGAGAACAGATTTTGCTCAGTGTAAGATAAATTACAGCACTTAGGGAAACAGTATCAAAAAATGAAGCACTCTGCAAATAAACACATTAAAAAGGGTCAGGGGTGATTAGGTTCAGTGCCTACAATCACTGATCTCTGCCTGTTCTCCCAGAAGTGACTGCAAGATGAAATAACAGCAACAATATCAGTTATGTGCAGGAAAAAACAAATTCAGTCTGCAGAAATTTAAGGCTCAATCTGAACCAGCATTTGTTCACATCCCTTAGAGAGGTATGGATCAATGAGGGAACAAAAATACTTTTGATCCCCTTGCATGGAACTCATCCTACATGGAGCTCAAAGGAAAGTGGTCTTCCAGAGCCAGACCAAAATTCACCTGAAAAATTATCCTGAAGGACATAAAAGGTGTTTAAACTCCAAGTGCTGGTTGTTAAAACCACCATGGGCTGAACTTTGTGAGCTCCAGCTGGGTTCCCCACATCCTCAGTGGGGAATCAGATCCTCAGCAGGCACAGTACCATGGGGTAAGAAATTTAAAACTGCTGCCAGTTTGACTGGTTTTTAACCCTGGGCAGTGGGCACAGGGAGGTGACACTGAGTCCCAGCCCTTCCCTTGAGTGTCCCAGCCATCTGAAATGGCTGCTTCGTTCCCATCCCATTTCCAGACACTGAAATGACTCTGTGCTTAATCCTGCTGATCATGAGAATTCCTTCTCATTATTAACTTTCCTTAAATATGAAGGGTTCAAAGGAAACCAGCAGCAGTCTGTCTCTTTTGTTGTTCCCTGCCCTGATGGTTAATAAAACCAGAGGGTAATTGGAAACAGTAGCTATTAAGAAGACAAGAATATATCTTTTTAAGACTACCTTCATGTTCTACTTGAAAACAAGAAAAATTGGCCCAAAATGCTGCTCTCTGTAATTAGGGGTGAACCTGGCAGAGCAAGGACTACTACCCCAAAAGAAGAAAGAACCAGGGTGCCTAAGAGTCAAACAGAAATCCTTCACTAAATGAAGCTTTGTTTTCACCAAGATGAGAAGATCACAATGAATACCTTATTTCTGAAACTGCCCTATTTCTAAATAAAATACAAGAGATATACAGGGTAAGAGATACACAGATGAAGCACCTGAGAATGAAACCAGGAATGCAGCAGCATGTGTGCCAGGAGAAGTGTCTTGTTGGGGGGAAGAAAATATAAAAACTAATAATCTCTCCATAGGAGGCCAAATTATGACCATGTTTTCCAAAAAATTTGGATGCCTGAGCCTCCCTCATCTCATCTCTCTCCAACAGACAGATACAAAACAAAAAAAAAATCAGTGATACCCTGAAGGAAGACACAGAAAGAAAACAGGGAAATCTTACTTTGCAGTAGTTTCTTCATCGTATTTTGTTTTCAGATCAAATAGTTCTGTCCTGGTTTTTTCCAAGGCTAAAAGGCATAAACATGAAACATTACAGTACTGAAATAGCAGTATTCAGTCATAAATAAGGCTCTACATCTCCTGATGAAAAAAAAATAAAGCTGTACACCTCCTTAGCTTTATCTTTCTACCTAGGCAAACCATTATGGCTTAGAAAAATCCATAGGGTTTTGACTTTTTTCACAATTTCTTGCAGTATTTCTGTTGCATTGCAAGAATTTCCACCTTCTGCTTAACCAAGCTAGACATTATTAGTTTCTTATTAAGCTGGCTAAACTGCTTATTCCTTCGAAATAGTTATTGCAGTAGTTCAGGGAATAAAATTTCTTCTGTTCTCATAGTAAACAAAGTCAAATGAGTCCAGACCTGGAATTTTGAAGTATGCAGAGATGAAAATGAATGGCAAATCATAGCAACAGGCAAGAAACAGGGTTCACACTGATCAGTACAGATATTTGTCACAGTTTGGACATGTGTGGAAGCAGAGCACACATGGAGGGTAAGTTCCATGGCCTGCTGTAATTCCAGGGATGCTCCCTGATCCCTGTATTTGCCAATGACAGCTGCAACAGGAGCGTTTGCTCTGATTCACAAAGCACATCTGAGCTCTGCTGGAGCTCCCTGCATGCCAAGAGCTGCTTCACACCCAGCCCTGACACACCCAACCATCCCTGTCCTCTCACCTCCCACCTGATCACCTGGAAAAGGTCACAAAAGCCACGCCAAACCTGTTTGCAAAGCTTGAACTTTGTGCTCGGCTTCCTCCAGCTTCGAGGCTGTTGACATCTGGGTCTCCTGCAATTTTCTGTCAAGGGGAGAGGAGAGGTGAGAGCAGAGCTCGTGATCACGTCAAACAACTCATCTGTGCCTTGCAGATTTGGGGGATGGAGCAATTAAACGTCTCAACTGGAATGAGACAACTGCCAACACCACACAGGCTCTGAGGTGCTTCCGTGGGACCCATAAACGCTGTCACGTTGTGAGATGCTGTTCCTACTTTGTGGTCCCACTTATTAAAATTTTAACAGTGTAGCCACCTCATAACATAAGCTGTGAACGTTATAAAGAGTTGACTGCTATATAAATGACAACTTCAGTGGAAGGTTTTCTTGAGCATAATTTGTTTTGGAAATGTCACACACATTGAGAAAATTGTCACCAAGCACCCTCTGTTGTACAAAGTTAGTACAAGAAGAATGATACATTTCCATTTTAGTGTCATAATGAGGGAATTTGTTGCCATAACTGATGGAGTGAATAGCTGCAGCAGCTGTTTCATCAGAGCTGTAATGGGTGCCAAATGCAGTAATATTATTAGCTACTCTTTAAGAAAACACACATATTTCAAAACAAATCTCACAGTGATATTTTCTGTAGAACATGAGCAAAACTTTAATATGCTCACATTTCTTATGTCCACAGGCAACATTTTCTAGTTTGTGTCAGTTAAACTCATTTTTACATCATCTGGCCACACAGCCACTGCACTCCTTGCTAAGGGCCAGGCTGCAGGAGTTATAAAACTCATCTTTGAAAGGAGCTGCTCCAACATCTCCCAGGAGCCGTGCTTTTTACAACACTGCTTTTAGGATATTCTGCAGATCTCAGAATTGTGAAATGGCTTATGAAACTACCAGCATCCTGCCTGCACTCCATAGGGTGCACAAATTTATTCTCCAACACTGCTGACCAGGTTAATATTTATTTATAGCGAGAATCATGCGTCAGCTCCCTTCATACTCAACCCTATACTCTGAGACCTCAAAACCTCTCTTACACACACTTTTACTTGCATTCCACGACCTGCCATTTTGTTTTATTTTTAAGTACATTGAAATTGCAGTTGTTAAAAACACTGCTTAGCAGAAAAGTAACCATAGGTATTAATGAATACAAAATAAAGCTTTGCATTCACTGGTAGATTCTCCCCATTCAGCCCTGATTTTAAACAACCAACCCTCCAACTAAAAAGCTCACGTGAACTGAAGGTTTTCCACGCTATGTTGAACATATTATAGCTTCAGTGTTATTGCTCCATTGGAGAAATAAATTCTCAAAGCAGGGAATGCAACCTGAAAGAACTCCCTCTTTAGCCCCTTGGTTTTCTCCTGCCTGATTTATTTGCCCACCAACCTAAAGATTCAAATGCTCCCTGCTCATTTGCAGAAGATCAGAAACACATCCAAAATGGTTTTTTGTTTTGTTTTGTTTTTTTTTGTTTAAATCAATAGTAAATAATGAAAACCCTTCTTAATTTTGGCATGTGGGAAGATGCAAACCTTCCCAGGATAATTCAGGAAGGCATCCCCTGTCTCAGCCGTTCCCAGGGGAGCAGGGCTGGTGCTTCCCTGGCCCAGGCTGTGGGTGCAGGGGTTCATCTGCCCCAGCCCAGGGCTGCAGAGCCTGTGACACACGAAGAGTTGCCCCGGCTAATGGAGACAGATTGGTGTCACAGAGGACAGTGCAGCCAGGGAGGAATAAAAACAGGTTTGCACCCTCCTGAACACGACACCTCCCCCTGCCCCACACCACGGAGAAGAGACAATCTGTCCTTGTTTCACTTCCACACTCTCCCGATTGTTTTCCTGGGCAAAGTTGAGTATCAAATGATTCCGTGTCAAACGCACAAATCGCTGGAATCACTCAATGGATGAGCTGTCTCCAGCCACCAGTCTTGGCTGGGAACATTAAACAGAAAAATCCCTCTCTCCTCCTCCCCAACACCCAGACACACCCCCACACACACACACTCACCTCTCCTTCTCCGCAAAATCATTTTGTAACTTTTGTTCCTTTTCAAGGGCTATGTTCTCCGCTTGGTTCTTCAGGGTCTGTTCATATTCTCGGATTTTCTCCTTAAGTGCTTTTATTGTAACCTCTGCAGGAAAACAATAGGGGAAGAATGAGTTTACACAGCTCCACGTGGTTCCACAACACAAGGCTTGCTTTACCCTGTAGGCTCAGTGTGTTTTAAACTTTAGCTCTTCAACTCTGACACAAAATCAATGGATATGAGTCCCTTTGGAGACCTTTTACTCCCTAAATGTTAAATTGAACTTTAAGTGTTTAGGTTGAGAAGGATCAATGGAGTTTGCTGGAAAGCAGAGTGAAGAAGGTTCCTCTAACACAAATTTTTTTAAAAAAAAAGAAGGGAAAAAAAATCAATTGTAAAATATAATATCACTTTATTGACTAGTCTAAAATTAGCTCAGTGCTGAAAGAAGATTAATAAAGTCCCAGTGTAGGTTTAAGTATGCATTTACACACAGGACACTTAATTCACCTGACTGTGCTCATGCACTAAGAGGTAGTTCCACCATGGTTCATGCACAGATGTAATCTCACACTAATTGAACACATATCTCAGCTACAGCTCTCTTCTGCTTCCCAGCTGAGGAGAAACCCAGCACTTGGGATCCAACTGCTGCATCAACAGCAGGCGCTGAACCTCTGCATGTCCCAGTTGCTGTCGCTGCCTCGTCACCCACCCCAGGGTTTACACACCAACACTGACTATTTTAACTTTCTGAGGCACTTGCAGCCTTCCAGGGAATTTGCAGAACCTCTCCCTCAGATAAAGGAGCTCTCCTGCATTTCCCCATGCCCAGCACTGGATGAAAGCAGATGCAGAAACCTGCAGAGCTACAGCTCAGCATCTGCTTACATGATCTGTTCCTACGTGAAAGCCCCGTGATCCCACCCAAAGGAAAGGACTGAATCCTTATAGGGCTCAGAAGAGGAAAAGCAGGACATCCACCAGAGTATGCTTTGTAACAATAATGGAATTTGGAAAAAGCCTTGGACTGCCAGAAGACTCACAGCAGCAGCACAGCTCAGAGTACTCACACAGGGATGCAGAGGGGCTTAAAGACATCAGCTAATTAAGAGATACCATTAATAATGCTTGAGGAAAAAGTAAAAACTCGGACGTGAATAGTTTCATATTCTGCAGAAACAGAGGAAGACAAACTCTGATATGAAAAATAAACCCTATGGGCTTGGGGGGGAAAAAATCTCAGTAATATCACACAAACCCACACATAATCCTTTCAAAATCCCGATGCTGAAAGCTGAGCAGGGAGCTGTGAAGCAGACAGGAGGTAGCTGGTGACATGATCTGCTGTCTGGGCACTACCAAAGGCAGCTTGGGCCACTGTGACCACAAAAAAGGGGAGAAGAGTGGTAAAAATGTTCGCCAGCAAAGCAGCTGCCTCTGCCTGAAGGAGCAGGATTTTGCTGGCTGTGCAGAAATCAGCTGAGGCTCATTACTGAGTAACAGGCCGTGAAAAGGACACGTCACTTCTTTTTTTCTTAAGCGAAGGGAAATTCTTCCCTGAGATCTGGGAAGTCATACAAATCCTGATCTCTTCCTGAATAAGCAAAGGATGCTCACACAGACAGTAGGATGCTGCTCCTGTGGGCAAAGGGTGCTGCACTCCCTTCTGGGGACACCTCTGCTCCAGGTGTTTCCAGATATAAATCTGCAAAAACATTCTGGGTATATGGAGAAGCAGAGAGCAAAATAATCTCAGAGAAATTCACGTAATTGCACCCTGACTAAGTTTCAATGTATAATTTTAAAAGAAAACAAAACTACGAAAATGTAACTTTCGTAATAAAATCTGTTTTTACCTTTAAGCATACAGCTGAATCCTCTACCTTGCTTGAAGCACTAAGTGCTTTCTTCAGTGCTCAGGTCAGCTACAGCTTGTCAGGCACTGCCATTTATACCAGTTTTGGAAGTTCTTACAGGCACCATAGAGCTCATATCAGCCCTCCAAACAAAGAGATTAACTGATCAAAGCACCCTCAGCTAACAACAACCTTTTCCCTGGATAGCTTATTAATCCCTGTTTGAAACTGAGAGTAAAACCACTGCACTGGAGTGAAAAACAACACAAAGGCTACAGTGGGGAAATGGAAAGGAAGTTCCAGCACAGCAGGGAAAATCAAAAATGTCAGTTATGAGTGGTTGTAGCAAAAAACTCTACAAGTCAAGAGCTTTTCCACTTTGTGGGATGAACCCCCATGTCATGCTTGGTTGTACTGGATGCACAGCCTCAGGAAAACTCTGCACAGTGAACTGCAATGATTGTACATTTCCAGCCAAAAATACAGTCTTGCTTAGAGCATTACAGTTCCAACATGACATCTCCTGCAGTCCAGCCCAAACCCTGGCATGCTGATACCTGTCCTCTCCAGGGGTCACAACCTCTAGGTTAAAACAAAATATATTTCAAAATGCATAACTGCATAGATGTTCCCTCAGCAAAAAGTGAGATTTAACAAAACCAACTTAGTTGCTAATGCAGCTTTCAAATGTTACTTGGCTGTACAACAGTTCCATAATATAAGAAATTATATTTATTATATAAAATCTCCATTGTTCCAAATGCCAAGACAATTTACCTTTCCACCATCCAGAACTGGGAATTAAAGATGGAAATGAGAACTCCCATGGATGGGCAACTAAATGTATGGCTGAGAAAAATTTTTTCCTGGTGCAGGAAACTGAATCACAAGAAAATTAAGCAGTCTTAAAGCCAACAGGCTTTAAATCTCATTGAGATTTTCATGTATTTTCATGCACTTTAGTCTCATTAAAACTTAAATAATTTAACAGTAATAGCTTGTATTTACATTGCTCTATGGATGGTCTCTAGAGTAAAAATAAAGGGCATATACTGAATGTACTCCAGTAGTACATTTAGAAAAGGAAAAACGGTACAGAAAAAGTTCCATTTTGTACAGATTCATATGTGGGTACAAAATACTGAATTTTTGTGTTTGTCTGTGCAAGCTGCACATCCTCCAAGTACCAACACCCACGTTCAGCTTGATGTCAGTACCAGCACTGCCTCTCATAAAATGTCACAAATAACGTCAGTCAGGTGTAATTTTCAGAGCTGAAGGCTACAACCAAATATACAGAATAACAACTCCATCCTCTGACTTGGTGGTACAGTAAATGAAACTTCCAGGAAATCCAAAGAGTCTGCCCACAGCCCATCTCCACACACAAATACAGAAGTGGCTCTAATAGACTACTGCACTTTCTCCACTGAATTTCAATGCTACTGTCACCTCTACCTTTAAGAAATAAATCTGAATTCAACCCCTGTCTTCAAATTTCAGTGTGCATTTAAAGCTGATAATATGGTTGCAACCTACCCTGATTTTTCACCTCGGCGAATTCTTTATTGTATTCCTCCAGAGTTTCCCTAAGTTTCTGGTTTTCTGTTTCAATATCGTGCATGCGTTGAACCTTCAGCTGAAGCTGCTGTCCTAAATCCAAGGCTGGAACCGGATCTGAAAAAGAAACAGTAAGATAAAATGTAACAGGAACACTTCTGTGACCCAAGCAGTTCAGAGCATCCTTTATTGTCCATTTTGGTGCCAGCAGGGCCCTTCTTTGAGTTATTAGACCTGTACATTCCTTATATTGTATAAAAAACTAGAAATATTTCATTCTATGTTCCCTTTAAATACAGAACCAGGCTGACAGGGCTGAGGGTGTTCAGCCAGGAAAAGAAATAGCTCTGGGGAGACCTTAGAGCCCCTTCCAGCACCTAAAGGGGCTCCAAGAGAGTTGGAGAGGGACTTGGGACAAGGACTTGGAAGTGACAGGACAAGGGGGAATGGCTTCCCATTGCCAGAGGGCAGGGACAGATACTGGGACAAAATTCTTGGCAGTGAGGAAGGTGAGGTCCCAGCACAGCTTGCCCTGGTTGTAGCTACGCCATCCCTGGAAGTGTTCAAGGCTGGACAGGGCTTGGAGCAACCTGGAACAGTGGAAGGTGTCCCTGCCCATGGCAGGAGGTGGAATGGGATAAGCTTTAAGGTCTCTCCCAACCCAAACCATTCTGTGATTCCGGGGAATTTGGACACAGCTTCTTCACCCTGGCAGTAATCCCCAGGACAGCGTTCCTGAGAGCAGACAGTCATGATACAAAAGCGTGTGACAATTTTAAGCTTCACATTTTTTATTGCAAAGTGAGAATTTTGGGGTGAAAAGCAATCAAACTGCATCACCCTGCACAGCAGAGCTCAAACAGGTTCTGTGACCGTGGAGATCTGAGTGGTACCTTTTCTAATTGATAGATCAATAATAATCAGAAAAGTTGTGTGGATATAATCAATTCCATGAACCTTGGGTTCGGATCTCTCTTTTTCTTACACTATTAATCAAATGTCCTCTCACTATCAATCCTCTGATGTTCATCCCCTTCTTGTAAAGAGGGTTCTCAGCACACACCTGACATGTGCATGTGTGATTTATTCTGGGACTTCTTCAGGACAGGAGAACTCTGGAGTATGATGGACTTATAAAAGATTATTGAACATATTTCTGCTATAGGCGCCAGCATCTCTTGTGAAATGGCTGCAAAGATTTAGTCTCCTGTTGAGGAATGCTAAACACCAAACTCAGTGGATCAACAACAGTATATATTAGGGAGTTCACTTAATTTTCAACCACCACAGTCATTAATTTTTCAGACCACCCTCAGTTCCAGTCTCTGGAAACACATAATAAGTCTATTGTACCTCTGTTAACACATTAAGCATGAGCCTGTGTGTTTTTTCAATATGCCAGCGTTGTTGCATAGTTTATAAAAGAATAGCACTGGGTTATGTTGAGCTCAGAGACATTCTAAGTAGCAGCCTGCTGCATTTTGTTACTCGGGTTCTTCAACAGCTTATGGCATTACCCTGTTCATAATACAAAATCTAGGTTGCTTGTCATCTGTTCTCTGCACATACATAGTTTATGACTACATAGCTTTTTCATTTATGCTTTTTAGGCCAAATACTTTTCGTTATTATTATCTGTATTAAAATATTTATAATAAATCAAACTTAAAATGTTGTTGTGGCAGAGACAGGGGGGTACAGGTAAGGAATTAAATAGAGAGCTGAAGTGGCAGCAGTAGCACGAGCTGAAGGCTCTGCAGTATTTATGGATGGTCCTGTTACGGTGTGGGCTGTCACAACATTCCCCTGCTCCCATGGAGGTCTCTGACCTTCCTCTGCATGGAGCATTTTGTCACACTCCTGCAGCTCAGCATCCCCCAAAGAGCCAGCCCGGGACATTCATCTGCTGAGCACAAAGAAAGGCCGGATTGTCTCGCTCTGGCCACGTCTTAAATTGTTATAGGAACCACGGATCCTATCAGGCCCAGGATCTTAAGCTTCAGCTGTGGGCATTTCTATGAAATAGTGTTAAAGTGCCACGATGAAAGAAACTGAATTTGACAAAATTGTTGGTGCACTTTTCCCCACCCTCATTTTAACATGCCCGTTGTAAAAAGCGAGGACATGTACAAGAAGTATTTTGCTCCTAATACGCAGGGCTTTTTATATTGAAATCAGTAAAGAATTGAAAGACAAAAATAACATGGGCATTATAAAGTGAATAATGACTAAACCTTTAGTCACATTTGCAATCCCTGAGAAGCTTCATGTACAAAATGAAAATGCTTGCAATCTCATAATTATTCATCAGGACATGTATATTTAATTTAGCTTTATTAAAGGTTAATGTTCAAGTAGCAAAACAGTGGCAGAACAAACAAAATGTAAAAAAAGTCTCTGTGCATTAAACTTCAAACTTCACTAGAGCCTATTTGAAGGACTAATGGCCTGCAGCCACCAAATACTGCTGGAGGACATGTAAAAAAAACCCATGGGTGAAGCACCTCTTAGACTTAATTTTTATAAACTGCATTAAAGAAAACTAATCGTTGTATAACAATAAAATGAACAACCAAGACATTTTGGGCAGAGAGAAAAATAATTTCTCATGGCAAGCTCCAACATGCGCTTTTAGCTTGAAAAACCTAAAACCTGTTATTTCTGGAGTATTTATAAACACCAATTAACCTGAAACAAGCATAAACCTTAGAGTCACAACGGTTTTTTTCCTACCTGAGTGGAGCAGATTAAAAATAAATAAAAATACTCTCCTTTTTCCCAACACATGCATGCATGGAAAAGCATACCTTTTTATATTAACCAGGTTTGCAAAGTATGTTTCATGTCATTTAACAGGAGGTCACTGAATTTTTAAACAAGCAATGGACCAAAACTTTCGATTCATTACACAAACAACAGGCATACACAGCTCAAAAAAGATCAACTGGCCCTGGCTTATGGAGAGAGGCAGCGAGGGAAATGCCCTTTCTGTGGTCTGTAAGAGAGAAAAATCACCTCGTTGAACACTGAAATATGGAAACCTCATCACACATCATTCCCTTGCTTTGAGTTTTCTCTCGTGAAATTCCAGAATCCCTGCTAGGCACAGGGTAAATAAAAAAATGAGAAAATTAGTAAAAGGGATCTGATCATCCAGAACTTGAAGAAGCATTTTGCAAGATCCTTACTGCCCAAGAGTAGATTGAGATGTCTATTTTTACACTAAACTTAGTGTATTTCTTTCTCTTGCTTCCTATTCTCCTCGTTTTCCCTAATCCACTTGTTGCATGCCATACCCACAGAGAAGCCCCTTGCATCCTGTGCTTGCAGGCAGCCCAGCACATCTGGATCCGAGCCCTGACGAGGTTTCCACCATGCTACCACTGCAGAAACAGAAACCACCGTATTTCCAACCCTGCAGAGCTCGTCCCTGCCTCTCCTTCCCCAGGGATTGCAGAGCTATGGGCACATCCCCTGCTCGCTGCTGGGACACACCTCACTTCTGTCCCCACAAAGGAGGAGGACGGACACGTCTCAGTGGACACAGACACAAAAACAATTAATGTTACAAATGCCAAGCGATTTTTATAGCAGTTAATACTTCACATCAAACGAGCTGGTGCGACGCAGCCACAGCAACACCTCTCAGGCTGTTCTCTCACCACACACATGCCCTGACGATGGGTATTTTTTCAACAGCAGGGAAAGGAACCTTTCTTTTTTTGCTTCTGTTTAGGTATGTAAAGTACTGACTTCACAAACAAAATTAAGATTGCTTTTGCCTGGACTATGCATTACATGAGGCAGCCCCTCACCACCCTGGATGCAGTTTTGAGTGCCACAATGTAAGAAAGATATAAAGCTGTAAGACAGTGTCCAAAGGAGGGACACGCAGTCAGTGAAGGGTCAGCAGGGGCCGTACAAGGAGCGGCTGAGGACACTTGCTTTGTTCAGCTGGAGGAGACTGAGGGGAGACTCATTGGAGTCTGCAGCTCTGATCTCTGCTCCCTGTGACCAGCGACAGCAGGAGGGAATGGCTGGAGCTGTGTCAGGAGAGGTCTAGGCTGGAGATCAGGGAAAGGTTCTTCCCCCAGAGGTGCTGGCACTGCCCAGGCTCCCCAGGGAATGGGCACGGCCCCGAGGCTGCCAGAGCTCCAGGAGTGTTTGGACAGCGCTCCCAGGGATGCCCAGACTGGGATTGTTGGGGCTGTGCAGTGCCCAGTTGGACCGATGATCCTTATGGGCCCCTTCCAGCTCGGGATACTCTGTGACTCTACAATCCAACCCCCACCCTACATCGCCCAAATCTCAATCCCCGAGATACAACAGGGCCATCGATGACTGCCTGAACTTCCCAAGTGAGTTTTCTTGATGAACCCCCATTCCTCCCCCATCCTGCGAGCTGGAAGAAGGCACAGCTCTCGGTGTCAACAATCCCATCCCGGTGTTGACACCGCGGGCGCTGGCGCAGGGTCACCCTCCCCGATCATTACGGCCAAAATGACCACGGCTGCCCCCGTGCCCCTCGCCCGGTGACATCCCAGTGCCGCCCGCCTTCCTTTTCGCCAGGGCACTCTGGGCTAATGTAATCATACGATTACATAATTAACCCAGCTGTCTCATTAAGAAAATCAACTGGAATTCAGGGCATAATTAGTCATACAGCAATTAGCATGCTGATGAGCAACTGATGAAAAGCTGTCTCGATATAGAGTATGCTGGGACCACCCTCGTTATTTAAGGAGAGGGGGGAAAAGCCCACCTCGGCTCACAGAAAAGGAGCTCCTGCGGGACAAGGAATGTTTAAAGTTTATGTTTAACCCTTCGGCCGTGGCTGCTGCTGCAGTGAGGGCTGAGGACCCCCAACAACACCGAGGGGCTGATGGCGGGGTTTGCCAAACGGAGTGGAAAAACTGTGTCATTGTTTAAATGTACAATTTGCAGCGCACAGGGCCAAATTACCCTCTCTCCCCATATAAATTTATATAAATATATATATATAAAACCCCGGGGCTGCAGAATGCTGCTCGGCTGGAGCAGTCCCGAGCAATGGGCTTCGACAGCCCCGCCGGGAGAGAGCAGCAGGACCCCTGAGGTACTGCCCGGACCCCGGAGTGACCAACGGGGCCCCCGGAGGGAACGCAGGGACCCCCTGAGGGGCTGTCCAGGCACCGTGAGGGGCTGTCCGGGCCCCCAGAGGGGCTGTCCGGGCACCGTGAGGGGCTGTCCAGGCACCGTGAGGGGCTGTCCGGGCCCCCAGAGGGGCTGTCCGGACCCCGTGAGGGGCTGTCCGGATCCCTAGAAGAGCTGTCCGGACCCCCAGAAGGGCTGTCCGAAGCCCCAGAAGGGCTGTCCGGGCCCCGTGAGGGGCTGTCCGGACCCCTAGAAGAGCTGTCCGGACCCCCAGAAGGGCTGTCCGAAGCCCCAGAAGGGCTGTCCGGGCCCCGTGAGGGGCTGTCCGGACCCCGGAGCGACCGCCCGGACCCCGCAGGAACCCCCGGCCGGCCCCGGCGGGGAGAGCGGCAAAGCCCGGCCTGGATCGCAGCGCGGGCGGATCGGGCGGCGGCCGCGGGTGTCGGTGCGGTGCCGGGGGGCTCCTCACACGCTGTAAAATCACCACAAATGGAGTCTTTCCGTGCGGTGAGACCACCACGGATGGACCAGGAGCTGCAAAAGAGCCCAGCGTTCTGCTCTGCCCTGTCCAAGGTTCGCTCTCGGCTTATTCGCATAGAATATTTTATAGAAATGACACAATCGTGGACTGGTTTGGCTTGGAAGGGACCTTAAAGCTAATCTCGTTCCACCCCTGCCATGGCAGGGACACCTTCCACTGTCCCAGGCTGCTCCAAGCCCTGTCCAACCTGGCCTTGGACACTTCCAGGGATCCAGGGGCAGCCACAGCTTCTGTGGGCACCCTGTGCCAGGGCCTCCTCACCCTCACAGGGAACAATTCCTTCCTAATATCTAAATTAAACCTCTTCTCTTTTCCTTTGAATCTATTCCTTTGGTATCATAACATGGAGCTCCTAAAAGAGCCTCTTCCAAAACAAAGGACTTGCCTTTTAATACCCCCCTTCCCTCTTCATTTACAGGCCTGTAACACTGGAAACGATAAGAAAGCAAGTTATGAAACAGTGCCAGAACTACAGGGGCAATTAATAATTTATATCACTGGAAATGTGTTTCCTAAGGTTGGGATCTAAAAATAATTCAAGGAAGGCAACGCGTCTCTTTCAACGCGACTGAATTTCTGTTGCCCAAACCCCGCTGTAAGCAAAGCTCTCGGTGATCGCTCACCAGCAACACCCACACGAAACGATAAGGGAGGGGAAAAAAAAATAATAATCCTCCTAAAACACAACTTCATTAACGCAATTCAACTTTTTCAAGGAGCCAGGAGTTCAGCCTCGTTGTCACAATACTTTAGTCACGAAGTAAAGGAAGTTTTTTTTCCCCCCCCTTCCTAAATGCAACACTGCTCTTCGCAGGGAGTGTTCCTGCTGGAGAATGATCCCTGGATTACAGACACGGAGAAGTGATGCAGTAACTGCTTTTGTGGCAGACTGCATGTCTGAAAATAACCTGAAAATGTGTTTTAGAAAAAATAATAATTACATTGTAGCTTTTGAATATTCAAACACCTCACAGCATACTTAATTAATTCATTAATTATTCCCCAGAAATTTCAGGGGTAAATTGAAATAGCCTAGAGAGACTGAGACAAAGATTTCATGGAATAAATGATAGCTTTGCTCCCATTCCCCTATGACTCTGGTAGCCCAGGGACAGAAGAGTTATAGCCGTAATTCCATTTGAAACAAAGCTCATCATCTCTCCAACTCCTCACTTCATAAAAACCATGAAAAGGTTCTTCCTTCAATCAAGAATTATACATATTTTCTTACTCCCCCATCCCACAGGACTGGGATCTGTGTCTTCCTTTTATTTTTTTCCACTTTTTAAGAGCATTCTCCTCACCCTCTGGCTCTTAGAGCATTCCGTGCAGGCTGTACCGGGGAATTCAAAGTGCCCACAAGAGGGTGAGGGACTCTCATTTTCCTTACCAGAAAAAAAAAAAGAAAAGAAAAAGAAAAGCCAAATCCCAAATTCTGCCGGCCTCTGGAAGCAGCAAAGCCAGACTGATGGGACCCCCCTGTGTGGGGATGGGGGAGTGGCAGCAGACCGGCGCCTTTCCTCCCCATTAATCACGGCACAAGTTCTCCAAAGCTTGCAGGGTTAAATGAAACAGCACGGGATGGTGCACAGGCAGTGTGACCACAATCATACAGATCCCTCCCAGAGTGTGGTCCTTACATCTTGTGGGCTATTATTTAAAAACATCCTTTATTTATCTCCCAACTTGGGAATGGTTACTGCCAGAAAGATGCCCCAGATTGAGATGCATCACTATCCTAGAATGAAAAAAAATCACGTAAGGCAGAGTAAATTATCAACTCCATGAACTGCACTGTAGTTCCCTCTAGTTTCAAAGGAATAACCAAAGTAAATCCTCAGAAAAGTTTTTAATATTAAACGTGGGGTTTGCATAATAGGTAGGGCAGTACTTGATGGCACTATGTCAGCTGAAAAAGAACCTAATGAGTTACAAGAGAAGCCACTGCAACTCAAAAGGCTCCAATTTGATTGTTAATGTTCTAGTAATGGCCCGGGACACTGGAATTTCTGCTCACACAACGAGCTCAGTGCAAAGGACAGTTGTAGAGAAAACACTTGTACTTCAAGTTTCATTTCTCCTATTTCGAGATTATAAAAGAAAAAAGAGCCTTCTACTATGTTTGAAATAATTTCTGCTATATTCATCCCTTCTTTCTCCTAAAAGCTTCTGAACAGACTTAGCACTAAACCCTCCGAAAGCTGGGGTTTATTTTAATTCCAGTTCACATTCCTGCAACCGAGAAAGGGAAAGTCCAGTATTCCCCCTCCCCAGCACGCTCTGCCTTTTGCTCCAGTCTCGGGCCTTGGGGCTGCTGTAAATCTCTCCCTGCAGCAACATTTTCTGAAGGGCTGTGGTGACACCCCGCAGGTGAACACAGCCCATTCCCGCAGGGATATCTGCTGGGATATCTCCTTCTACCGCACATTCTTCCTGCTCCTATTCACTGCATCCTTCCCCTTGTCTGCACCTCCCCTCTTCCTTCCGTGCCTCCAGCCTACCAAGTAAAATAGGGCTTGACAACCACACAATAAATTTTTTAAAGTGAATGCTTTAGGGATATTTCTTCCTCTGAATATTTATTCCGGCTTTTATAAAGGAATTTATCCAATTATTAATTCAACGTGAAAAACTAGAGAAAAAAGTATGTGATCAGACAAGCCCAACTTCAAGCCACGTATTCAGGTAACAGAACTATTTTCAGTTATTTTGACATGGGTTTCAAAACAGAAGGATGAAGTGAATGAGTTCTAAAGATGGGAACTGGCCAGGACTTTGTGCTCCATCTGAAAATAGCAGTGCAACACTGACAGTGCTGCCCGACCAGCATCCCAAACTGCCTGTTGTGCTGCGGCTCGGAATTCCAGCCTCATGGGGAAGGAGGCTGAAGTGATTATGAGCTGCTTGGACATTCCTCAGCACTGGACTGCCAAGGCTGGAGCAGCATTCTGGGCGATTCAGGATATTCTGGAGAACGAAACGGCGGCAGCTCTGTCCCTCTGAGAACTCTGCTCAAATCTCCCCTCTGCAGTTGGGACTTTAAACTGTTCCTCTCATTCCCACTCAGCACCCCTTGCAGATTTGCTGAACTGTTTGGGGAAAGTCACTACTAAATTTCTACAGTCTGTAATTTTTTGCTGTACTGACTTTGCTTCCAGATTTTCCTGGTTGTGCAACTCCTTCTTTTTACCTGTTTTAAACACGCAGGTGATGCATCAAGGATTTTGGCTTCAGATGGGATCCACTCACCAGCTAAATCACTGCCTGCAGCCACAGGGGTTTATGGCTTTTCACTCTTTCAAGTATTAACTATGCTCAATTTTCTGCTTAATTTTATCAGATTTTCAAGTGTGTTTAGAAAGACACCCGACTGCTGCGTTTGAGGAGTGTCTGTGCCACTTCTGTGTCCGTAAGCAAGTTCATTTTGTTTCCTTTCCCCCTGAGAGTACTCACTGTAATATTGTTTTCCTTTCCCTCTAAGGTTGAGAAAAGGCACGTTCTGAATATTCATTTCCCTTGTACAGTCTGGGGCAGCAAAACCATAAACTTGTTCATTTTATGGGTCTGTCCTTTTTTTTTATTCTAACATATTTTATTGGGAAAGGGGTGACAGTTCTGACATGTATTATTAACAAATGAGGAGCTGCCTAAACTTTTTCACGCTGCAATGATATCAAACATTTCTCAAAAATGGTCTGTGCTGTTCAGCCTCGATGTACCACAAACTCAGGGCTTACTATAACCTGATCTTGCTCTTTAGACAGTTTTGCCAACCAATTAACCATTATCTCAGACAAGAGCACTCTAAATATTAACTTTTTCAAACTCTTTTTAGTAGTCTACTTTGGGATGTGCTTAAACACAGTCCCTTGGAGTGAATCTCTTTTTCTTCACCTCTCTTTATTATCCCCTAAATTTACATTCACCCAGCTCTCCCTACAGGCAGAAAAGCCTGGGGGTACACCTAGGTTGAAATTTTAGCACATCATGAGACATCGGGGTCTGTAAAAACTTTATTATATAGACTTCCTTACCGAGGCTGGCATTAACCTTTCTGCTTAACATTATATTTTCCAAAAAAATCCAAACATGTCACAGGATGTAGATAAACACAACAACTTCATGCACATTTATCACCTCCAACATAAGCAGCAGATAATTTTTCTGGGAGAAAATACCCCCAACCAAATCCAAAATCAAACCTGTTTTTCTCTTGTATCACCTTTAACCTCAGGACATTGATCAAATACACTTTAAATGGAATTTTCTCGTAGCCCAAACAGCAGTGCAAGTCTGGAGCGGGCCATGAGTTGTAAATAATCAAAAGGCAAAGGCTTATAAATGGCTGATTATTTGCAAGCACTGCAAATAATTTTCATTTCTGCCTTTAGAAGTAATTCCCTCACACTTATTTAGTGCTTTACTGATCGTTTGTTCAAAAAGAACTTTGTGTTTCCTCAGCCAAAGCATTCCTTGAAAAAAGAACACCCTATGCAGGGCAGTTGGAATTTGCAAGGCTGAGCTGGGGTTGTGTGTAGGCTAAAATCCTACATGCAGTGATAGGTGTGTGGAAAACTCCTTTGGAAGGAGCCTGCTCCTCCTCCAAACCCCTTTCTGAGACACAATCCCCCTGGCTGGGTGTGCAATTTATGACGGCAAGGAGCAAGGGAAAGATAAAATTTCCACTTCAGCCATCTTTCACTGTTATTGCTTTTGATTGTTTTGACAGGGCGCATTAAAAAAAACCATCTTATTTTTACCTTCTCTGGTTTTTGTTATAGTTCCCTTCGATAGCAGGTCCTCTGAGCTAAAACCCACATCACACACATTATATAGCACCAAATCTGATCACAGCACAGACCCGGGAAGAGTCTCCAATAAAACCACACGCACATCCCCTTTTACACCCCGAGAGTCGTTTTGTTTCCTGATGAGAAAATTCCCATAAGGAGAAACAAAACCCATTTCTGGCTCAGCCCTGGAAGGCGGCACAGCCCCTCCAAACCAAGAGCAAACAGTTTTCATTAACCTTCCCTTGCGCTCAAATGTACATATGCTGAAAAAACTCTGTGTTTTTTCCTATTCTACAGACTGAACCCAACTGGGTTTAATTGTGCCACATCCAGAGAGCAGAGTTTGTGTTTAAAGGCAGAATTTTCTTTGCCTGCAGAGGAGCAATACTGAGACAAAATACTGAGCAAATCCACCGTGGCACTGGGCTGTAACTGCAGTGATCCATTGCAGAAAGAACAGTCTATTTAACCACTTTATCCAGACACTGACACCTGGCATTCACTTGGTCTCCATGTTTTAACTTTTACTTGAAGATTACACTCAAGTGTTGTTTTAAAAAAATAAAGTAGTGAACACAGTTCTTTTTGAAATAAAAATATTTAGCATTTTTAATGCTTACTATTGTTCCTTTAAAGATTTAGGGGGGGGGAAAAAAATTGAATATACTATTTCTGCAAGGCAACACCATTCCTCCAAACACACAACAAGGCTCTAATTTCACTTAAGTGCTTGCAAGATTAAGACCCTAAAAGCCAAGAGTGTTAACATAATACACTCATTTTATAAAACTGGAGACAAAGGAATCTTGAACAGATGGAAAAAGGCTTCCTCAAAACACAGACCCAACCTCACTTTACTTCAAAATAATTATATTCATATTATTTTTAAAGGTAAGTTGTGACAACCTTGTTGATTAGTGCAATTCATGTGGCAGCATTCACTTTTCCCTAGCTCTGTACTGCATACAGAAAATAAGGCAATTAAATGAGAAAATTAATTCCATTAATTAAAAATGTTCAGTCTCAAGCAAGACAGAACTAAATGAGAAGTATAGCTGTATAAATGTACATAAACCAAAATGTTTTCCTTGACATGTGCTTTCCTTTAGGAAGGATAAATTTTGCAGCACAAAGTAATGATAATGCTATTTTAACAGCATCATAAAGCTGGAGAGAGATATATAAAAGGTCTGTTTTATCTTTTAAAGAAAAACCCCCTGATGTACATAGGGAAAATTTACAAGTAAAATACCATCCCTTCCCACAAATTCCTTACTGGTGAGCCTCAGTGAAAACTCTGGTCAGGTCAGGAAAGAAAATCATTAAACTTTGCTGAATCCATAAAGCACTGTAGCTGGAGTTTCAATACAGATCATTTTATAGTAAAATTAAAATAGAAGCCCTTTTTAATTATATAAAGTGTGCACATTATTACTGAGGAGAGAAATACACGCTTTCCTCAAGAACCATAAAATTGGCTGCTGGGAATTAGACTTCAGCTGCAATTATTATATGGTCCTATAAAGGATATTGAAAGTCTGATAAAATTGCACCCTTGTCATGTAACAGCGATGCTTAATGCTAAATAACCACTCTGCAGCATTCCAGGCATAGCTTCCCCCAAACATCATCGCTCTCTTCTCACACCAAAAAGAAAACACAGCAGCATTGGGGAGCTAAAAGTGTACCTAAATATTTGAAATACCAAACTAACAGGTCAAAAGATATGTAAAGCTACACGGAGGCAAAGCAAGACATGTGATAAATGAAAACTGATGGCTGTTTATAAAGGAGGGCTCTCCATGGACACCCAGCCAACCTCCATGGACACTGCCCAAGGTAGCAGACTGCACAGGATGAGAGGGGGGAAAAAAGAGCAATGCAATGAAGCAGAGTGACAAAGACCAGTGCCACACATTGCTAATGGCTGCTTTCCTTCTCCTTGCAGTGTGTGTTGTAAACTGTGAGTATTTGTTACGCCTGCACGTAGCTACACTAGAGCTGGACTTCTCCTGGAGAACCTGGAGTTTACTTTTACCTCAGACCTCCAGGTAAGAGCATGGGCCTAAAACCTGGAGATATTGCTCATCCCACAGATTCCACTGCGCTCCCAACTCAGCCAAGCTGAAGTTTTTATGTGTTTTAAGAATATCAAAGAAATATTTCTGTGACGGGTGACATAAGGCACGCGCAGGGGACGGAGGGGCAAGAGAGGCTGTGGGGTGTGGGAGCAGGGCTGTAAATTTTGCTCCTGAAATTGAAAGGAAAGAGAAAATTCTTTCTCCTACAAAGAAGTCCTGACAAAGTCCTTCACCATTTCAACAGCATGGGTGGGATATAAATCCTACCTTATCCTCAAGGCTTGGTCTGATCTGCTGCTCAGATCCCAGCACCTGTGGTGGTGCCAGGCTTCAGAAAGAAGCCTGTGCACAAGAGCACACGAAGGATCCCACACAGCTCTTGTTTGACACCACTCCTCAGTCGTGAAAAAAGCCAGACTGTTCCAACTCAAACCTACTCAGCTCCCAAATTATGGCAGGAAACTGCAGTGAGTGTTAGTGCAGAGATGGAGGGGCTGCAGTGCCTCTCCCCAGCGCTCACTGCTGGACTCCCAGGCTGCAGAGATGTTGGGAATGTTCTCATGGAGGGGTTTCTCTCCAAGCCAGAGATGTGGGTGCCCATCCCAGGCCCACACTGCTCGTGCCAGGCAAACTGCCCGTGATGGTCGGGACCTTCTCTGAGTTATCCACCCCTCCCATGGCATGAGCAGGTGGCCAAAGGGAAATGTTCTGTTCAGCAGAATGTTACTGACACTCTGAGCAGGAAATAAGAGAAGGAAAACTCACAGACCACAGATGACTAACCTAAAAACATTTCCAAGGTAAATTGTGGCCCAGGAAGAACTTGGCAAGTTCCTGCATCCCTACAGAGGGACTGGCCACTGGGCACTGTTCAGATATGAATGGGGAAGCATAAAAATATATATTTGTTAGCTCAGACTGAGCATCTGAAAACACTGACCTTTCAACCAGCTAATCATTAAACTAAAACATTAAAAATTTAATTATAATTTGAAGCATGAATGAAATGTGCTCCCCTTAAATGGTAAAACCAGTAAAGGCCAGGGTACTATGAAGCCCTAAAAGTATTTAAAAGTATTAATTACACCTCAAAGGCCCTCTTGAGGTATTTGGAATATTATATATATACGTGATGTTTTATAAAACCATAAAATGACACAGAGTCATGTACCAAAAGCTCAGCCAGGTCAAGATGTGGCAGTGGAGACTTGGTCTCCTCACTCCCTGTGATATGGATGTAGAAAGAAAAATCTGTTCAGGCAGTTATTTATTTTCCACTGGGAAAAAATACAAACAAACAACAACAACAACAAAAAAAACCCCAAAACCAACTCCCAAAATGTAAAAAGAAGTGAACTGAAACCAAATGCCGAACAAAGAAAGTTCAGATGCCAAACAAAAGGGAAGTTGAAAACACATACAATAAAGGCCTCTGAATAAAATTTATGATCACACTTACACTGCACAGAACTGAAATTTGGTAGTGATTTACTTTTCAGTAAGGCTTTTTCTTTTGTTTTTTTTGGAAGGCATGAAAAGTTTTCTCTATCCTTTGAAAGTACAAATATTGCTGTTTCTTGGTAAAGCTTTGAGATGCATTTTTTTTGTTGAAGTTGTCTGAACCCTCTAACAAAACAAATACTGAGGATCACACAGTATCATAATAATGTAAATTGATTCATACAAACATTAACATGTAGATGCACTGAGAAGTCCTGAAATGTGCCACACTTAGAGTTCTCTCCATTAGATACAATACAGGAGTCTATCAGTTCCAGAACAAAATCATTGCTCATATTTACCTTATTAAAGGTAGGAAAAATGCCCAGTAGCATTCACACAAACATGAACCATTAGTTTCTCAGAATAAGGGAATAATTTGCTTACCTGGAACATCAATTAATCTCTTATAAACATTCAAGAAGGCTGCCTCTGCTTCTTTGCTTCGTTTACCCAATGCATCAATCTAAAAGGGGAGATGAGAGAAGAAGCTTTAAGACTTGTTCCAATACAACTCTCACACTCAGAATTATAAATATAAATTAATAATATCACGTGAAACTAGTAAGTACATAGAAAGAGAACCCAGGTCTCCTGTGTACAGCTCCTATAGAAGCAGTCTCAAAAGACTGTTCCTGCTACATTTGTACTGAATATAATTTAAAGGCCATTTTCCAGCCCAATAACAAGCATCAATATTTTTATGAACACTCCTGCCTGTTGTGATTCCTAACTTTGAATCTTTATATAAAGCCTGGTATTTGCCAGGCAGATTGTCCCCTCAACAACTGTTTTCCTTTACCACTTACTGAAATCTAACACAGCAAATGGAATCACAGCCACTTCTGATGTCCCACTCTGCCTTTATTGTGGTAAATAGATTTTTCTATTATTTCCAATGAGCCTGTGAGGAGATGAAAAGATGAACTTGTTGAGTGCCCTGTGATACTTAACACTAAATAACTGTGAATCTTCTACATGCAAAGAAGTTTTCTAATACAGCTTAGGCACAGTCTGCACTCCTGAGCTTCTCTGACCAGCTTCTCCTTGTGTTCTGTAACATACACAATACTCATCAAAGAATTTATTTTTATCATTTTATTATTTTCCCTCTCTGTCTGTATTTTCATCTAAAACTCCATTTTACAAGGAAAGGCAGCTTAACGGCTCCAGGAATAAAATGCTTATCCCACAGCAACTTTTTTTTTGTAAACATCTATTTTCCTATTGTACTAGAAACCAGAGGATTTACTATTTCTTCATATTGACAATAAACAACCAAACTGACTCGGGATCAGATCCAGTGAGTTAATACTCCAAAGCAGAGGGACAGAAAGGGAAACAGGAAAGCCTGACACAGCTCTGTGGCAGCTTACCCAAATCAGGAAACCAAAGGCATGGAGATTATCGTTCCCATATTTTAATAAAAAGCAAGGAAGGATCTGAAGAACTGCGGATACAAAGGCCTGATATCAATTCTTCTGTGTATTTGAAAGGCAGTGAATATTATGGAACCATTTAAAGGTGCGGACGTCACCGCGGCCTAAAAAAAGGAAGGCCCTGTCTGAAAAACGTCCTTGAATTCTTTCTCTACATTATTGATTCAGTAGATAAGGCAGAAACAATGGCCAGAGTTTACTGTATCTGTATTTCAGGAAAGTATCTGATATTTTATTCTGCAGGAGGGGGATTTGCAGCACTGGGAAGCGTGTGACCAAGCCAGCGCTTGGGCTCGGGAAGCACCGGGTGCCCGAGAGAGGAAGAGGAGAGGAGATAAAGCAGGAGGGTGCTGCAGGGTCAGCCCTGGTGCCACGTGTGTTTATTCTGTCCTGAAATGCCTCTGTGAAGAGAAAGGAAAGATTTGGGAAGGGAGAGGAGGGCAATCCTACAGCGTGGATGATGAAATAATGTAGGGAGCCGGTGTCAGAGCACAGCGGGGCTGGTGTGGATCAGCCTCATGGCTGGTCAGGAACTTGTTGATCATTGCAGGCAGGATTAAGGCCACAAAACCAAAGGACAAGAACAATTGTGGAAATCACACAGAGGCACAATGCTCAAGGAAAGGCTTGGAGGGGAGGAGGGGTCAAGGAGGGAAATAAGGACACGGCCAGAGTCCACACAGCATTTGGCAGCAGCAGCAAGGAAATCTTGGGAGATACTGCGAGAGGCTGGGAAGAGACAAGTTCTGGCAACACAATACAAGGTTGTGTTTAAAGAAATAAACCAAGTTTCTATTTTGCTTACAGCCCCCCAGGATCTGGATTAATTTATGGAGGTGAGTGGAGGTGTGGTGTAACTGACACCTGTTTGCAGCTTATCAAAGGGTATTGGAAAAGTGATAAATGAGCATCAGAAATGATGGAGGATGTGGAGAGCAGATGCAAATTCTCAAGAAGAGTTGGCCATGCTGGTCTTTCAGTTTACCAAGAAAAAACCACGGAAAGGCACTGGAATCTCCCAAGGCATCTAATGTGCCACAGAGCAAGGGATTGATGGCTGTGAATAACCCACTTAATAATCCGAATTGGAGCAATCACAGATGGACTGATGCTCATTAGGGAAAGAGAACAGAAGCGATTTGGAGAGAACATTTTCACACGAGGAGTACTTGAAATGAGCCTGTGGAACGAAGTGCCAAAGGCAGGGAGGCCCCAGGATGTGTAAATCCATGCTGGGGAGTGTCAGGCACTGCTTGGGGATGGGGTGAGAAGGAAGGGGCAGCACCAGGGACACTCGTGCAGTTGAGCTGTTTCATGGGTGCACAGAGACTCTCTGAAGGCCAAACCACACCATATGTTACACTTCTGGACTTCAATGTTCCCACATAAAATTTTCTCTCGCTGCTGCTCGGTAGAGAGCAGCCAAATTTAAATTACTATTATTAAATACAATTAGCATTACAGCACTGATTCTGTACTGTATTTTGAAAAATTCATTTGCCCCTTTTATGAAAAGCAAAGCACTTAAAATGCTTCCATTTCTGGGAAATAACAGGATGGATTTGTTTTCCTATTACAGTTTTTCCACATTTTAATAAAGAGCATTTGTACTTTTATTCTTTCTAAGTATTATAGAAGGTATGGTTTATTTGCTCCTTACCAGTTATAGAGTGATGGAAATATAAACCAGATTTGAAACAACATCTTGCAAGGAGATCAGAGACTTTCCAGAGGAAGCAGTTTGTAAATCACAGGTATTTTACACCTTTTTTCACCTTCAAATTCAAAACCAGAATTCCAAACAATCCCACTAGGCAGAAATATGGGTTTATGTTTCAGTTGTTAAAAAAAATAAATCAACCTGTCTGCTTTAAAGTTCTACTAAAAATGAGCAGTGCAACTATTTTATATCTTAAAATAAAATTTAGAAAAAGCACCGTGACAACTTTAACTGGAATAAAAAAATAATTAAGCATGCCAGCACCCAGGTGCTTAAGGAAATAAAGAAATACAGGAGGAAAAAGACATCAAAAATAGCAAAATATAAATGAAGTCCAGAGAGAGAGGAAACAGGATTGAAATTACATGGAAACATTTGGAAGTTCACTGAAAATTTTTCAAATCAAAATAAAATTGGTTCAGGAGCCAACAAGGCTGAGCTGCAATCAGCTCACATTAAACTTACATTATAAAACTCTTGCTAAACATTTTTATTTGACTCTAAAAACTTCAGGGACCCTGAGAGAAGTCAACTTATAATTACACTCGCGTTGTCTTGACACGAGCTTAGCTCCAAATCTTAATTTATCTAAACCAGGCCCCATTATGTCTTCTCTGAGCAGAAAGAAACAACAGTGACCTCTGTATTCCCCACCACCCCCATAAACATATGTTCACTTTTAAGTTTTGGCATTCCTATTTGTCTTGATAATACCACTGGCGCTGCAGTGAGATAACAGAACTGAGGAATCCTCCCTGCTCAGCACAGCCTTCATCTCACTCTTCATCCCTAAAACATCTCCAGAGGAGGAGGAGCCGCGGCCAGACACCACACTGAGACCAGTCCTCCCCTTATCCACCTTGTTTTTCCAGGTCAAGTGCTCTTCTGAGTTGATGCTCAGGGTACCAAGGTCACCCCAGAGGCTGAGTGTCCCCCCTTGTCCTCCACAATCATCTCCTTCCGACCTGCCCGTGAATATCTCCGTGGTTTGATCCCACTGTCCCTTGTTGTCTGACACTGCTGGCTTGCTCCCCCAAAAACATGGACAGTCTAGCTCAGGAGCACTTGGTCCCAGTCTAATACCCGCTGCACCTACCTGAAATCAAAGTATCATCAAAGAAATCCATGGATTTATCTCCACATTTATGTAAGCACCACAAATCTGACACCTAGGCCAGGGAAGGTGCTGAACCTAGATTTATCTGAATGTTGCCTCTTTCAGCTTTGTCCAGACAAGGTCTGAAGGATAAAAGCAAAGTCTGTGGCTTTAGTTTGGAATCTGACAGTTTTTATGCAGTAGATTTCAGCATTAATTCAAGTCTGATGTTTAGTGCCCCGTAATCTTCTGAGCACGGGTCTGCAGGGCTGGGATGCTCTGGGCTGTATGAACGTGGTATGGCCCCAAGGACTGCAGTCACACTGAAGGATGCACACCTCTGCTCCTGAATTTAAAGATGGACCAGGATGATGAAGCTCTCTACAAGGAAGATGGACTGCCAGATGCCAGCACATCCTGCACTGACACTTGAATTCTCTGAACTGAGGGATATTAACACATCTCTGAGCACGGGACTGGCACATGTGCTGCTCGTCTTAGATCCACTCAGATCATCAGCCGAGTTAGAAGATTGGGATGCTGCACTCAGCATCCCAAAGACAGCTCCTTTGTGAGGGGTTCCCAGTGCTGTGTCTGTCTGGCATTACCAAAGCACTGGTGATTTGCTCTCAGTACCACAAATACAAGTGTTCACACAACTGTGCTAAATAGGAACTTCACAGTCCCAGCTCTTCCCCTTATCCTCATAGTTCTCCAATTTAGTTCTCTCTTGTTAACCACCTTAACTTATCTTTTACTGTCCTGCACATGATCTGGAACTAATTTATCAAATGAAAATGAATTATTTAAAATAGAAGTTATTTTTCTGTTCTGATTTTTAATAAATGGATGCCTTAAGGAGACACCCATCCCTTTTCCCTTACACATCTTCTGTCGTATTGTTTTGCATCACGAATTTTTTCCATTTGTCTTCAATTACTACAAGTTACCAAGACACCATTAAGAACTGGAAGAACCATATGAAACGAAGGGAAAAGCACGAGAACAACTCATTAAAGCACCACTCTTTTAAGCCATGCTGTATTCTTAAATAACTGCCTTGGAATCAAATGGCAGCTATGGCAGGATTATTAATGCATCAGTCTTGCTTTGAAGCCTTTACAATACAATTGGCTTGATTTCCCTTTCTTAATACCAAGAGATATTAATAAATAAATCATTTAAAATAACATTGTAATTTACAAATTAAT